TCCAAAAACCAGGCCAAGAGAAGAAAGTTAAGAGGTCCCGAGACAAGACGCACAGCTGAAGGCTCCAGAAACTCAAAACAAGCACAAACATGCACAATCATCGAGTACTCAATCGATGACGTTTGAATCTTAAGGTCGGTCAAAATGGGGTGTCTACAGCAAACCATACTAACTCTCTCCCTAATCATAACATCTACCTATTCCATAGTCATACCAGTTAAATTTCCTACATTTAATATGGCTACCCTCAATCTATAATCTTGGACTAGCTTCTTTATCCAAGCAAATAACACAAAATTGTAACCAAACATTAGAATTTTAGGGTTCGTTTAGGAAAAACTTTTTTAGCCTAGCTTTTTTGGCTAATTTAGTCTAGCTAAATTAGCTATGTTTTGAAATAACTTTTTAGCTTTTTTGTAAAGAAAAAGTGAAATGATTATGCTTTAGATGTGACATTTTGTCTTATTGGTTTATTTAGCCTATTTTGTCTTTTGTGTTTTTTTAGTCCCAACCTAAACCCAACTCACTTGCCAAAATAGTCACATAGATTAATAATTACAATTCTACGCATCAAACAAGCCGTAGATGCTTTGATGCCTTCGTATTCTTCTGAAAATATAAAATAACCTTTATAATCATTACCAAATATCACTTTACTAATGAATTCATACATTTTGATTACTTCAATTATAAAAATATACAACATTTACTTTCTTTAGACTATCTCCAAAAAATATGTATTTATACGATTTTCAAAATTAATGAGATCAAAATATTTAAATTTGTAAATAAAAAAAGGAAAATAACATTCACTAACAATTGAAGGGTGTTAGTGTAATTACTTCTAATAAAATTCCATGCCATCCAAATGATAAATGCTAACACAGCAGCCTACAATGAAAAGATGGCAATCAATGGTGGTCGATCATCATTAGAGGTGCAACTCTAGTGGCTTGAGGTGCTGCATAGGTTGAGTTCGAGTTATGTTGAAAATTGTTCAAATCCATTCAAGCTTAATTTGTAATTTGGTATCTCTACTCAAGTTTGACTTGGGCATAAGTTTGAATGGCTCGAATTGTCAGAATTTTACACAAATTTGAGTTGTTTATTATTATTAGTATATTGTGTATGTGCAGCTAGGCTAATTAATGTATTAAAGTTAGACCTTATTAATATTTTTTAAAATCATTAATAATATAAAAATAAATAATTTATATGAAAAGAGATAGAGATAAGAATTGAAGAACTATTGTGTCAAAATTTTGTTTTAGAGGAGAACAAAATAAATATAGCAAAAAATAAATATATATCTTTTAGCAAAAGTGTAATTTTAACATATAATTTAAGGGAGGAAAAAAACAATATTGAGAAATCATTGAATTTATATTAATCAATAATGAAATTCATTGGATTATGTACGATTATAAAATAATTTGGTTATTTCATCTCGAAGTATCTTAAATTTGATGAAAAAGTACTCAAAAATTATCTTCAATCAGGAGAAATCCGTGTCACAACATAGATACTGTGACAACACCCACTTCATGTCCCTTTCACTCAAGCAAAACTCATCTTGTGAGAGCAGGGTGCTTACGAATGTTTAATTAATTTAAATTTTTTAAGACTCTCATCGTATAATTACAAATATTTAAATGATTTAATTTTTATATATAATATATTTGACAAATTTTATAATACAAATGATATATATTATCAAAAGGGCAGAGCTTCTCTCCGATTTATTTTCTAAACTGAACGGTACTATTAAACCCATGAGGCCCATCATGGGACCTATTTTGATCATCCGAAACGTTTAATATACAGAACTCGTCGAGTACTTTCACTCTACAAAAAATTATATTGATCGGATATCAGTAACTCCTTGATTAGATCATATTTTTGTCAACGATAGACATAATTTAAAAAACAAATTATTGAGAAAAATATGTGCTGATAAAGTATCTATTGATATCTGATCAGCATAATTTTTTACAGAGATGAAATACTTGATGAACCCTACCTAGTAAATCATTTAAATTATTAAAATAAGACTTATAACAAATATTACAAATTCAATAATACTATTCAATTCATTTTATAAACTGAAAAAAAAAAAAGAGATTTTTATTGATAAATCCATTCCAGAGTTGTTATAACCCATTAGGTCCACAAAAGAATATGATAACCTGATTAGTCCCATAAACTTTTCTTTTTATTCCATAAGGTCCATTTTCCTAATTTAACATATTTTCCTGGACTATTTTGCCCCCATATATATATGTATGTGTACAGTGTTATACGCATTTACATATTATGTGGCTGTTTACGTGGCTGTTTCCTCGGTGATTCAGTTTGGCAGTTTCCATTTTACGTTTTTCTTCATTAATCCAATTCCAAGAGAGACGTTTATGTTTTGCATACTCGTTCGAAGGATTGGTGGTGCTAGGGTTTCATTGTTGGTGTTCTAGTCTGGTTCTGGTTCTGTGGTTTGCGAGTGAAGATGACGAAGAGGTAGCTGTTCGGCTATCACATTTTCCGAGCTTTAAGTAGTTCGAATCAGTTGTGTTCGACTTTCTGGAGGATTGTAGGATTGCATGGTTAAGGTTAGTATCAATTTGATTGTGAATAAATGTTCAGTTCATTTGTATGATGAAGCAGATGCTCTGTTTTTGGATTGATATGAATTGGATGCGCTGGCTTTTCAATTATATGCTTCTTACGTGGTCCTGTGGAGGGGAGTACATTCATATTATGTGAAGAACAGTGTTAGTTCTCATTTTAGTTAGTTGTATGCGTAATGAGGATCTGTGTATATGATTTGATTATCAGTATATATGGCAATGTGAATGTTGACATTTTGTTAATGTGGATTATGTGAAGAATGTGGATGTTCTCATTTTAAATTGATGTTTACTTAATGAGGCTCTGTGTGTGTGATATAATTCAGAGTGTATGTTTCAATGTAAATGTTCAGATTTTGTTAATATTATGTGAAGTTTGTTGGTGTTCTCATTTTTACTTTGATGTTTGCAATTTTGGCATCTTGTTAATATAAATGTGAATGTTCACATCTTTGTATTTGTGAATTATGGATTTAGCACCTGAACTGTACACGTAGTAATTTTTGATTATTTGCACAATGTGATTTTTCATGTCGATTTTGATTAAATGTGTAGTTCTCATTTTACTTGGACGCATGCGTAATGAGGATCTCTGTAGATGATTTGATTATCAGTATATATGTCAATGTGGAATGTTAACAATTTGTTAATGTGGATTATGTGAAGAATGTGGATGTTCTCATTTGAAATTGATGTTTGGTGAATGAGGCTCTGTGTGTGTCATACAATTTAGAGTGTCTGTTTCAATGTAAATGTTCACATCGCGCGAATATGATGTGAAGATTGTTGATTTTGTCATTTTACTTTGATGTTTGCTTAATGTTGACATGTTGTTAACAACAATGTGAATGTTCACATCTTCCTATTCTGAAGTATGGATTTAGCACTTCAACTGTACGCGTTCTCATCTATTTTTTGCACAAAGTGAATTTTCATATTGATTTATATTAATGTTCATTGTTGTGGTTTTTGTGTTTTTATAGGAGATGGATACCTTTATGCTGTTGGTGTGTACATATGGTTGCAGTACAACTGTAATAAATGTTGCCCGCGCAATGTGTTATTCTCGTTTGGTGGAGTGTTTGTGTGAGAAATGGGATGAGTTGTCTGCTGGTTCTATTTCACTGTTCTGTAAACTACCTGGGATTAGGAAGTGTGATTTGGACAATGAGGAAGAATTTCAGAACATGTTACTGCTTGCTAAATCAATGGGGCTACAACATGTAGAAGTTGTGGTTGAGTTGAAAAGTGATATTGGTCAGTCAAGTAGCTTTGGGTCGCTGCGTGTGGGGGTTGAGGGAGAAATTGATGCACTACGAAGATTTTGCCACCATAAAGAGAATGTGTTGTTGTCAGCCCCTTGGGCAAATGGTATTATGTTAAAAAACCTAACATTGCATTTCAATCCACAAAATACAATGGAGTTATGTAGTCATTTCCAAATAAGAGGAAGATATTTCGCACATGAGTCAACCCACAAGGGGATAAAGTGAAATTTATCCTAAGCCATATTAGATATTAGATTTAGAAGACTTTAGGATTTTTTTTTTGTAATTATATATATATTTGGGTAGAGATTTGAAAAGAGAAATAAAAAAATATGTGAAAGATAGTTATATTTCATTTACATTTTACGTAGCTTCCATTTTTTTTTACTATGAACCAAACAAAAACTACAAATTAGAAAAATATTTTTTTAATGAGCTAGTATTTTCATTAAAAGTAATGCTACGTATCATGAAAATGGTTATGAAAGATTCTTCACCGTTCGATTACACATACAAGAAAACCTTACACACTAATCAAGTGATGAAAAGTTTTCATGAAGCATTTCATGATTTTTTTTCATGATCCATAATATTATTCTTTCATTAATGATTCCATCAAAGATATTTTCCATTGCGTTGATATTGATTTGTGTCTAATTTAAAATGTGGAGAGTCAAGGCCACCACTTTATTTTTCTTGATATTTATGAGTAATTACAAGAAATTAAGGTTTCAAAAATAAAAATTTAGAGATAAAATATTTTTGTCTTCAACACTATTATTATTTTATTTTTAGCGATAAAATTAGATATTTAATTGAAAGAAAAAAAAATTCAATCAAAAAAAATTTCACTTAGAAAATAATGTTTGGTAATTTTATTTCACTATATAAAGTGATGGGCAAGACTAACATAATCATTACCTGGACACCCTATCTTTTTTTCTTTCAACAATCGTACTTGGTTTGATTAAGAAAAAAAATGAGGTGGTTAGTATGCCTGTTCCACTTTCTTTTCTTTACCTTACAATGTCAACCTGCTTTCTTTTCTTCTTCTCCAACAAATCATCGGTGTTCTCCTGAGCAGAGCTCTGCATTACTCCAATTTAAGCATATGCTTGCTGTAAATGATTCTGCATCTTCGGTTTGTGATCATTTATTTGATCAGCCTTCTTATCCAAAAACAATGTCATGGAATGAGACTACTACTGACTGTTGTTCATGGGATGGGATCAAATGCGATAGGATGACCGGTCAAGTGATCGAGATTGATCTTAGTTGTAGCCAGCTCTATGGCACCATCCCAATGAACAACAGTCTTTTTAGTCTCAGACACCTCCAGCGGCTCAATCTCGCCTTCAACGACATCACTCAATCAAGGATTTCTTCTAGTTTTGGGCAGTTTTCAAGTTTGACACATCTCAACCTCTCATCCAGTTTCTCTGGATCAATCCCATCAGAAATCTCCCACCTATCTAAATTGGTTTCTCTAGATTTGTCTTCCTATTATTATTTAGTAAGACTTGAACCATACAATTTCCATTTACTGCTTCAAAACCTTACCCAGTTACAAACACTTCGTCTTTCCTGAGTGAACATATCTTCAGTTGTACCCATTTCCTTGATGAATTTGTCTTCTTTGATGCATCTACATCTTGATCAATCCGGTTTGCAGGGGATATTGTCAGATGAAATTTTCCACCTGCCAAAGTTAGAAGAGCTCGACTTAGCTTACAACCCTAATCTCACTAGTTATTTGCCAAAGGTAAATTTGACCAGTAGTAGTTCCCTTTCGGCATTGGCACTCGGAGGTACAAGTTTCTGTGGAGAGCTACCTGATTCCATTGGCGATCTTAAGTCATTAAAAGACTTGTATCTGGCTAATTGCAACCTCTCGGGGTCCATACCTATGTCCCTCGGGAATATTATGCAGATGGCCTCTTTGGACCTATCGGGGAACAATTTTGAAGGCCAAATTCCCAATTCTTTTGCTAACTTGACACAAATGACTTACTTGGATATTTCATTTAACCATCTTGAAGGCCAAATTCCCAATTCTTTTGCTAACTTGACACAAATGACTTACTTGCGTATTTCATTTAACCATCTTGAAGGCCAAATTCCCAATATTGCCAACCTTTCAAAGATTGTTTATTTTAATGTGATGCAAAACCATTTTGAAGGTCAATTCCCATGTTGGGTAGCCAACTTGACACAACTTGTTTATTTAGACACTGGGATGAATAAACTGACTGGTCCGTTTCCCGCCAACTTAAGAGGGCTTTCAAACTTAAGATATTTTTACTCAGCTTACAACTACCATAGTGGGACGCTGCCGAGTTGGCTGTTTAATCTTCCATCTTTGACGTATTTATCACTTGCTGCAAATGAATTCACAGGTCAAATCTATGAATTTTCAAATAAGTCAATGATTTATATTGATTTGCGTCATAACAAGCTACATGGCCCCATTCCATCACACCCGATGATGGTCGACCTTCTCCTCTCAAACAATACATTCACCGGAGAAATCCCTTCGATGATTTGCAATGTGAGTTCCCTTGAGATACTTGCTTTGTCTCATAATAGCTTGAGTGGTGTAATTCCACAATGTTTAGCAAACTTCAGCAATGTACTCAGTGTGTTAGATCTTAGGATGAATAATTTTCACGGTAACATTCCATCCACATTTGCAGAGGGGAACAAGTTGAGGAATATTGATTTAAATGGTAATCAGTTGGAAGGTTCAGTGCCACGATCCTTGGCAACATGTAGACACTTGGAGGTTCTAGACTTGGGAAACAACAAAATCAACGACGCATTTCCCTACTGGTTGGAAACTCTTCAAGAGTTGCAAGTCCTAGTCTTTCAATCCAATAAATTCCATGGTCCCGTGGACTCTTCCAAAACTAAACTCCCCTTCCCTAAGCTTCGAATCTTTGACCTCTCTCACAACGAGTTTAGTGGCCCTTTGCCAACAACATATTTCGAGCATTTTAATGCTATGAAGATGGTCGATGAAAAGGCGAAAAGAAGATATATGGGGCAATCCTATTATTCTGATTCAGTGACAATCATGATAAAGGGGTCTGAGATTGAACTACAAGGAATTCTAACAATCTTCACGACAATTGACTTGTCACATAACAAATTTAAAGGAGAGATTCCAATTGTTGTCGGAAATCTTTGTGGACTTCGGTTGCTTAACTTATCCCACAACGACCTTGTTGGCAATATCCCTTCATCATTGGGAAATCTACGTTTGCTTGAATCCTTGGACCTCGCCTCAAACCAGCTCTCTGGAAATATTCCTAGACAATTGACAAGTTTGACGTTTCTTGAAGTCTTAAATTTTTTCACAAAACCGTCTCGAGGGTCGCATACCTCGAGGCGACCAATTCGAAACGTTTGACAATTGCTCATACGATGGGAACCTGGCATTATGTGGATTTCCGCTGTCGAAGGAATGTGGAGATAGTAAGACACCACAACTGCATTCAACACCTATGTTGCACAAGGAAGATGATCCAACTTTTCCAAGTGAATTTAATTGGAAAGTGGTCGGGATGGGATATGGATGTGGAATGGTATTGGGATTGGTAATGGGATATCTTATGTTCTTAACTGGAAAACCGAAATGGTTTGTAAGAATTGCTGAAGGAGAACGATATAGCAAAGGAAGAAGGTCACACAAGAGGGGTAACAGGCATGGTGGAAGAAGAAAGTAGCAAACACAAATGGTGTCCCAGGTACGTAATGCTTCACCTTTTCTTTTTTTTTTTTCATTGTTATTGTGTTGGATACGTAAGAAAGGGATTAGTTTAATCATTTCAATTAAATGCAGATTTTGCCTTGAATTTAGTACTCGTTCCGTCTTAAAATATTAGTCTCTTATTTTATTTTTTATTATCTTAAAATATTAGTCTATTTTCAAAAATCAAGTACTCAAATACTATAAATTTTCTATTTTGCCTTTTTTTTTTTTAAATTTATTCACAATACAATAAGTATAATTATGACAATTGATATTCCCAACAAATATACTATCAAATGGTTCACCTTGCTTGGTTTTATTTTTCCAAAAACACTTTTCAGAAAATTTTACTTTCTTGTTTTCTGTATTTTTTAGTTTTTACTGATTTTTTTTAATATTTCAAGTAATTTTTTTTTTTTACTTTTTAGACATACTTAACATAAATATACCTAAAAAATAAAAAATTGTGAAAAAAACTTTTTAAAAATTCACTAAATACCAAAAATATAAAAAAAAAATACGAGAATTCAGTACATTTTTTGTATTTTTATGTATTTATTAATTTTTAAAATATTTTTTCACAAATTTTTTTACTTTTTAGATACATCTAAGTAAAGTGCATCTAAAAAAGTAAAAAAAATGTTTAAAATTTTAAAAATATTGACTAAAAATAAAAAAAAAGAAAATTAAAAACCTCAACTTTCAAAAAACTTAATGCAAAAAAGTCAAACCAAACACAATGAATATTTTTAAGGTGCAATAATTTTACTCCAAAAAAAAAAGTTTTAATCCTCCAAAAGATTATTATTAGACGGAGGGATTACTGAATTTTTGTATAAGCTCACCCGTAAGAATTTTCATTTAAAGGATGGGTTTGTGACGGGTTTGTCATTCCCTGCCCTTGACCCTACCCCCGTCTCTGCAGACAAACTCTTGCCCCACCTCCGTCCGGGTAGAATTTTTCAATCCTATTCCCGCCCCTACGGGTACCCGCAGATACCCGACCACATTTCAAATAATTAAAAAATTAAAAATTATACAAATAGTCACTGTAGTTTACATGCTGTGTCAATTTGGTCATTATAATTTCAATTTATTCGATTTTGCCCCTTAATTTAACGGATTGTGTCATTTTAATCCAATAAATAACGGTTGTTAAGTTAATTTAACGGAAGTCAAACAATGTGTTAATTTGGTTTCTGTATTTTTCATAATGTGTCAATTTAATCACTGTCAAAATCGAGAAAATTGAAATTACAGGGATCAAATTGACACATCGTGTAAAGTACTTGGACCAAATTGACACATTATTTGACCTTCCGTTAAATTAACTTAACAACCGTTATTTTTTGGACGAAAATGACACAATCAGTTAAATTAAGGGACAAAATCGAGCAAATTAAAACTACAGGGACCAAATTAACATATCGTGTAAATTACATGAACTATCACTACAAGAATTTACATATTTGCCGACCACTTTTGCCGACCAAAAAAATTTTAGTCGCAAAAAAATGACATTTGCCGACCAAAATATTAATTAGTCGCGAATGATCATTATTTTTGGCGACCAAAATGAGTTGGTCGCAGAATGTCATATTTTTGCGACCAAAAATGAGTTAGTCGCAGAAATTGGTATGCTTTTGGCGACCAACTTCAAATTTGGTCGCGGAAGGTTACATTTTGGCGGCCAAAAAAAATTAGTCGCCAAATTAGTATTTTTAGCGACTAATATTTTAGTCGCCGTTGATTGAGATTTGGCGACTAAAAAAGTTTGTCGGCGAAGGTACCTTTTCTGCGACTAATCTGATCATTTGGTCGCGAAAAGTGTGGGAGGGAAATTTGAAACATGGAGGGGGAAATGAAAATTTTTTGCGACAAAAAAATATTTGGTCGTCATTTATAAAACGACGTCGTTTTGTACCCACTCTCAGAATCAAAATTTGGTCGCCATTTATAAAATTTGGTCGCCATTTCTAATCCCCGTCTCTCCTCTCTGTCTCCAGCTCGCTCTCTGTGTCTCTGTATATGTTGATCCTCCCTCTCCCTCTCTCTGTATTCTCTCTCTCAATCGGTGGCCACTCTCTCTAGCTCACCGAAGTCCCTCACGACCGTGAAAGCAAAACAAGCTGAGAGAGAGCTCATAGTGCTGAATAGAGAGAGCGCCAATTTGGTTAGAAACAGAAGCAGAAGAAGAGGGATGACCAATCCACTGTCGTCAGAGACTCTCCGGCCGATCGAAACCTTAGAAATCGAGAACGACCTCTCTCTAGTCCCCCGCATGAAGCTCCTCCTCACTATCCACTGTGCAGACCACTCCGTCAAGCCCCTCGACGAGTGGTAACTCAAGCGCTCCCTCTCTCATCTCTCTTTGAAATAGGTGCGAAACAAGCAAACAACGAACCACTCGCTCGCTCGCTCTCTCTCTCGTCTTTGCGTTCGATTCGAACCCTAGGCACATTGAATCAATCATTCGGAGTCTCTCTCGGGATTGATCAAGACCATTGTTGGGGTTGTGGAGGCTTGTCATTCTCTTGGGGTAATGCACAGAGATCTCAAGCCTGAGAATTTCTTGTTCGATACTCCTGACGAGGGCACCAAGCTCAAGGCCACTGATTTTGGGCTCTCGATTTTCTATAAACCTGGTTGGTTCTTGGGTTCTTCTCACTTTCTTGCTCTGTTTCATTTGGTTAGACATTGTTGATTTTGATTTGTAAATTTGCAATTTCTTGTGTTCTTGTTTGATTTATAACCTTATTGGCAATGGGTGGTCTTGGTTCCTTTCCTTTTCTTACATTTGGTTAATTTTTCATTGTTTACCATGTATTGGGTTTCTATAATTTGACAATTTATTGGGTTATTGACTGTCTGGTTAAATTTTCCATTAAGAGTAGGCTTGAAAAGAGTAGGCTCCGAACTAATGGAGTCTGAGATCAAGGCCCTTATGAATGCAATAAATAGATTTATCGTGCAGAAGTTTATAGTTTTATTTTTTTTCATTTTCAATTGATTGTCTAGTTAAATTTTCCATTAAATGAGGAACTTTGACAGGCAGATATTGACAACAGTGGAACAATTGACTATGGTGAATTTATTGCTGCTACGTTGCACATAAATAAGATGGATAGAGAAGAGAATTTGATCGCAGCATTCTCTTTCTTTGACAAGGATGGTAGTGATTATATAACGATTGATGAGCTTCAATAGGCTTGCAGAGACTTTGGTCTAGGTGATGTTCAATTGGATGATACGGTCACAGAAATTGATCAAGATAATGTGAGTTTCTCTGGTTTTCATAATTCATTTGAGCATATAAAACCTTTGTTTGTTCTTTTGAGCATATAAAACCTTTGTTTCCCCTTAAGTTTTTACATTCAAGTAAAAAAGTTACACTTTTCAAGAAAAATATGATTGGTTTTAACTTTAGTCTGAGAATAAAGTTTATCTGTGTACTATTTATTAATTTTGAATAAAAAATCGAACTATTTATTAATTTTGTATAAAAAATCGTTAAAGTGCTATAGAGCCTCAATTTTTAAAACTGTTAATTACCTCGTTAGAGTAAGTTTTAGGGTGATCTTGTCATGACCCAGATGTAAATTTTTGGAAATTTGTGTTTCAGAGTTAATTTTGTGGTTATCCATATGATACCAATTCTTGTTGTCTATGCTAGTTAGATTGTTTTGATGTTATTTGGATGTTTCTGTTTTTAGTATTATTACCTTTGTAATTGAGTAACCTTGTGATTATTTTGATTTTTGTTTATTTAACTTATGATCTGGTATGTTGTTGTTGGTAATTTTGAGTAGATTGGGGGTTGGCAATATATTGTTTTTCCGGGACGGTATATTTACACTCAGAGGTTCAAAGATGCAAATGTCAATGATAAGGTAAAGTAAAGAATTACCATGATTTTCTGTCTGTCTTTCCTTGTTTTTACCTCTTGTCTAGCATTAATGTGGCTTTCTTTTTGGGTTCTTTCTTGAGGATAATGCATTTAACTTAATACTAGAATGGCCTTAATTTAGTCATTTGGATTGCTTTGTCCCCCCCTGGTGAAGCTTATTGGGGTTGCTTTTTGTTTTTTTTCCTCTTTACATTGTGAATCTGTTGTAGAGTGTTTGGTTATACAACATGTGAGCCAAAAACAACTTAAATTAGCTGAAAAAACTGACAATTACGAAGTTGAGGAGGAAATGCTTTTAACTTATGGTTTGTGATTGTTAACTTTCTGCTTGAAAAAAGCTGCACCAAACAGGTTTGTTGTCTGTTTGGACCGATTGTTATTTTGTTGATTTGAGTAGCATGGGGTTAGAATTTGTCCATAACTTCATTTACTATGTGCTTCCAATATTTTGGTTTTCCAAATGTTTATCATTGATTTTCTTTTGACCTTTGGAGCTGAATCAAATTTAGGAAAGCCATATTCAATCACCAATATTCTGTCCTTTGTCCAGCCATTCAAGCAATGAAAACCATTTTTTCCTCTAATGATGAACTAAGGATATCCTAATTATATAATGGGGTGATAGTAGGGACTTTTTGGCTTTACATTCACAGAAATAACAATTTCGATCAGATAATGTGGGGTTTTCGAGAAATGGTTACTCGAAGAGTGGTTTGAGACATGAAGCAATGCCCTTTCTGATAGGATATGCTGTTGTAAGTTTTAGATAAGGGTGACTGAACTTACCTAATGTTGATAAGTTGGACCTCTACTTATTCTGCTATTGACGTAAGAAATTTTGTTTATACTAGCTCCCTTTTTTTGGTTGATTCTCCTCTCTCCTCTCTCATCTCTCTTTGATTTTGATTTTCATTAAGGTGTTAGGAACTCTCGCAAAATATATGCACTGGCTCAGCTGTTCCTTTTTTTCATGACTGGTCAATAATTAATCAATTCTGTGATATGAATTGATTTGTGCAGTGATATAATAACGTTGTTCTGTGATATGAATTGATTTGTGCAGTGATATAATAACGTTGTTCTGTGATATGAATTGATTTGTGCAGTGATATAATAACGTTGTTCTGTGATATGAATTGATTTGTGCAGTGATATAATAACGTTGTTCTGTGATATGAATTGATTTGTGCAGTGATATTACCATGATTTTCTGTCTGTCTTTCCTTGTTTTTGCCTCTTGTCTAGCATTAATGTGGCTTTCTTTTTCGGTTCTTTCTTGAGGATAATGCATTTAACTTAATACTAGAATGGCCTTAATTTAGTCATTTGGATTGCTTTGTCCCCCCCTGGTGAAGCTTATTGGGGTTGCTTTTTGTTTTTTTTCCTCTTTACATTGTGAATCTGTTGTAGAGTGTTTGGTTATACAACATGTGAGGCAAAAACAACTTAAATTAGCTGAAAAAACTGACAATTACGAAGTTGAGGAGGAAATGCTTTTAACTTATGGTTTGTAATTGTTAACTTTCTGCTTGAAAAAAGCTGCACCAAACAGGTTTGTTGTCTGTTTGGACCGATTGTTATTTTGTTGATTTGAGTAGCATGGGGTTAGAATTTGTCCATAACTTCATTTACTATGTGCTTCCAATATTTTGGTTTTCCAAATGTTTATCATTGATTTTCTTTTGACCTTTGGAGCTGAATCAAATTTAGGAAAGCCATATTCAATCACCAATATTCTGTCATTTGTCCAGCCGTTCAAGCAATGAAAACCATTTTTTCCGCTAATGATGAACTAAGGATATCCTAATTATATAATGGGGTGATAGTAGGGACTTTTTGGCTTTACATTCACAGAAATAACAATTTCGATCAGATAATGTGGGGTTTTCGAGAAATGGTTACTCGAAGAGTGGTTTGAGACATGAAGCAATGCCCTTTCTGATAGGATATGCTGTTGTAAGTTTTAGATAAGGGTGACTGAACTTACCTAATGTTGATAAGTTGGACCTCTACTTATTCTGCTATTGACGTAAGAAATTTTGTTTATACTAGCTCCCTTTTTTTGGTTGATTCTCCTCTCTCCTCTCTCATCTCTCTTTGATTTTGATTTTCATTAAGGTGTTAGGAACTCTCGCAAAATATATGCACTGGCTCAGCTGTTCCTTTTTTTCATGACTGGTCAATAATTAATCAATTCTGTGATATGAATTGATTTGTGCAGTGATGGTTGGTGGATCAGATACCTTATCCTGTGCTCAATGTGGCAAACCTGCCCATCTTCAGTATGATATTATATTTATGTATTCTCTTCGATTTTATTCTCAACCATACATTATACATCACATACACACACAAGCACAGTTCAATGTATTCTTGGATTGGGATGTTTTTTTATCAATAAACAATTAGGTCATTGATCAACTTCAACAAGCAATTAATGGTGGTATGGATTTGATCATTGATCAACTTCTATGACTTTGTGGTCCTAAAATTATCACTTGCAAATGTAAATCACCTATATTTTACGAACATTGAGAGACATGTTCCACTTTATCAGCATTTAAAGTTTCACCATTAGTGTTTAGTCCTCGCATCTTGAGCCAGTAATGTGCTTCTCCGAGACAAAAAGACTGAGGAGATTATTGTGTTACTAGTTGTGAGGTTGTGATTTAATCAGATTTATAAATCCTAACAAAAACATGAATGTTATTTTCCATCGCACTGACCTCATTGCCAGGTGAATAGCAGATGCTGCAGCTAGAAGTCGAAACTATCCCACTCTGAAGCATAAACTGTGAGTATCTTGATCAGTGAAGTGCCAAACAGGTAATTTGAAATTTTTAATTTCCAAACCACGCAGACAAATTATGTTGCATTTTTATTTGCATCTTTTGATATCTATATATAGTGATTTTATTTTTTATTTTATCTTGTCTCTATAGTGAATAATTAAGGCTTAATGGGTACTACTGGTTCTAGTCTAAATTTTCTCCATGAATTTTCATTAATAGTTTAACTGTGTGGATCTTTCCTTTGCTCAGTAGCTCTTTTTTCCAATTTTCCAAGGTCATTGAAGCTTTTGTTCACTTCACCAATCAATCAACAATCCCATAAGCTTTTAATAACTGTATAAGAAGCTGAGACCATTGGTTATGAAAGTTCGTTAAATATTCATTGCTTTTACGAAATTTAGCAACAGTTAGAAACAAAGTAAATGGAGAAATATAGCCAGAGAAATGTCATCTTTCATTTCATTGGAGCTAAGAAAAAATGTAAACTTTTTATCCATTCATGACCCAAAAAAAAAAAATTTGTTTCCTGTTTTGTTGCCTTTCTCTGGCTTCTCTGATGGATTTTTTTCTTTCAGTTGGGAGCAACTGCTGTCAATTTGGTTGCTGGAGAAAAACCTGCTGATGTTTACTCATGAATAGCTGCTAGGTAAGTAGCTTTTTCACAATGCAATAGTTATGAGCATTATCAATTTCTCTTTTCTACATGGATTCTTTCCAAACCCCTTCCTTTTGTAAGCTTCTCTTTATTGGTAATTCTGTGCCTGATTGGCCCAGTTCTTATGCAGGCAGTTTCTAGAAGAGCCACCTTTCATGAAACAATTAGAGACTATGAACAAGCAGCCAGTGACCTTCATAGACTGATCTCTCTTCTTGAAAAGCAATCACAAGAAAAGGTTCAACAGTGTGGCTCTGGCGGCAATGTTAAAGAATTAAGACAAGCTCGTCGTCACGTATCCTCAGTGGAAGAAAAGGCTAAACATGGAATCTCCTTGGATCATTACCTCATTTTGTAAGCCCTCTGCATTTGTGTTTCCTTATGATATATTTTATTTCCATGGACTTGGATTTCTGTTATGGAACTTGATTTATTACATAGATTTTGATTGCATATTGATATTTCGTATTTTTATTTTTATTTTTGTAGTTTACGTTAAGTTGTGACTGATCTATCTACATTTTTCATATTTGATTTTCACACACTTTTTGATGAATTTTAGCATTTTGGAATCTAGCTTGAAAAGTTCCATATTCTGCCCCATTATTTAAGTCTATCTTTTCATTCATTTTCAGATCATATTTTAATGCGTGTTAATTGCAAATGATGTTTGGTGTTGGAAAGATGTTACAAACAAAATATATAAGCACATGTTGCATAATCAACCATTTCTTTGTAAGTTTTTTATTGAAATAAAAAAGAAATCTAGTAATTAACTCATGTTTTTCGGCTTGAGTGTCAGGTGTACAAATTTAATTCTAGCTGGACCAGCAGCATGGGATGGTCCTAAATCTAATTTTTTTTTTCTAATTCCTATAGTCAGTTATCTGCATATGATGACAGTTTCTTTTTGTACAATATATATCATGTACTATGTATTAGTGGTTGTGCCCCTTTTGGCACCATTAGTTAATGATCTTTTACTTATATAACTTAATTCCCCCCAAAAAATGGTGCTAAAATATGCAAACTATATGTAATGCATGTGAATTTGACAAGTAGTTCATTTTTCTTTTAGAAACATGAGCACATACAATTAGAACATACTGGAGAAATCTGGAATTAACTTTCTACTCTGTGTTTTATCTAGAATGTTGCCATCTCTTTCAACCCTTACTCTGATGATTCTTCCTATTGTATCCAAGTGGAGTTGTCATGTTACTTTTGTGAGATTGAAGTCGTTGAGGCTACCATTGTGATTGTGACCTAATAAGTCTCTGAATATTGTGAGCTTCTAAAGTCATTTCTTATTACAGGGGAATTAAACCGTCTGATGCAGCATCCAAAATAAAAAAGGTATATCGGAAAGCAGCACTGAGACATCATCCAGACAAGGTCTTTGGATTTCTTCAGTTGTTTGTTATCACTCTGTCATCCTTGTCATTCTTTTTAATGAGTTTATGTTAATATAGGTTGGTTAATTCCTGGCAAGAAATGGAGATGATGGACAACTCTGGAAGGAAATAGCTGATGAAGTGCACGAGGATGCTGATAGACTTTTTAAAATGATCGGAGAGGCATATGCTGTGCCTTCAGATCCAACCAAGGTATGCAATTAGCAAGATATGTTTAACTAGATGAGGTTTTCTGTGAGATGTGGGCCGGGAACCTTGAGTTTATTTAGCATACTGTGTTTTTAAACTGATCTGCTTATTGTGTTCTTTCATAATCATGTGTAGTGATCTTGATTTGCATGTTTTGGTCTTTCATTCTGTCGAATTGTCTTAAATACATAAATTTATATAAGCTACAAGTTCACCAGATAGTTTCAGACTGAAATAATTGGATCATTATCCTCTCCATTCGTGTCCTTTCAATCTTGTGAATCTCAGATACAATCAGATATAGCATACATGAAGAATAAACAGTAATCTGACTACTCAATGCTTTAATACCTCCATGCTAAACACTTGACTCATGAATAATAGATGGGATCTGGGGATAAATGTTTTCTGGTAAGCATTCTTGTGGTAAAAAGAATGGTTATAATCTAAGAAGCACGGACACGGACACGGATACGTGACACGACACGAATATGACACGGACACGCCGACATGGCAATTTTCAAAAAATACAATACACGACACATGTGGCAGCAGTGTGGGTCTGTCCCTCTTCTTTTCTTTTTTTTTTCTTCTTTCTTTTCCTTTGGTGGTCCGCATGATCTGTCTGGCTTCAGTGTGTGCTCCAGATCTGACACTACTTGTTACACCGATTTCTCTGGGGCTCTTTACATATTGAGCATTATTAATCTCTCGAGATTTTTCATCCAGCTGGGGGTTGGATAATGTGAGATTTCTTTGGGTAGATCTACAGTGTTCAAATATAGAGGTTATGTTATAGACTTAGCAAAAAAATATAGAGGTTGTAGAAGTTTTATAGTTCCTCCAATACTTCTTATGCTGTGAGCCTTGAACTTATTCATGCTGCTGATACTTGCTGCACAACCCACCTACCCCTGCAGGATGCCAGTGTGCGAGGCAGGGGCATGTGGGAAGTCATTGGTTGATTTGTCCTCTCATTTTTTGTAGGCTCACTTGAAAGGGATTAATTACACCTTAATTATTTATGTTTCTTGTTCTGCAGACAAGGCAAGCCTTTACACCAGAGCAAATAAATGAAGCATGTTATGTTGACATTAATTCCAACAAGGCTGTCTTTGACAGTTTGAGGAATAACCCAAAAGTGAACTATGATGGGAGGTGCTTCGCTTACAAGGTAAATCCTAATCTTTTCACCTGGAACCCTGGCAGACAATTGAACTTCTCTGTCTTCCCCAAGAGTTCATAGATTGTTACAGGTGCCTGCCCAAAAAGCTTCGAAAAAAAGTTGTCTTTGTGCTGAGAATTTACTTGGTCTTTATTTGATTACAGTCCAAACATGCTCTGAAGGACAAGAATCAACTACTCATCCTAATACGTAAATTTCCAGAGGGCATTGCTGTTATTGATCTCAAGGATGCATACCCAACTGTCATGGAGGATCTACAGGTTTGTGTTACCGCCTAAAATAATAGCCAAATACTTGCATGGACTTTGCATTATAACCTTTAATTTTCGTTTTTCTTGGAGTTTTAGAGCAAAATTTGTATTTTCTTCATAGGCTTTGAAAGCTGCTGGTCAAATCTGGCTGTTGTCGAACTTCGACTCGCAAGAGGACATAGCCTATCCAAATGACCCTCGAGTGCCAATCAAGGTTGATGACGACCTGAAACTGCTATTCCGGGGAATTGAACTACCACGTGATATGATTGACATTGAGAAGGATCTTCAAAAGAACGGGATGAAGCCCGCCACAAACACTGCAAAAATCTAGACTACACATTAATTTGTCATTAGCATGATCCGTTGAAAAATAATGGTGGATCTTATTATTTTATAGATATGATAGGTCCTATATTTATACATATGGTTCGTACGTAGGAGGTAAAAAGAAAGGGGGGTAAATATTCATGTATCATTGTCTTAGTCATCAAACCAAGACATACTCTCTGAGGATGAACTGTCTAGTACAAAATCTGACTCCATTTTCATTTGGCAGACTTAGCTCGAACAGCATTACACTCTGGTAGGGGCCTCCCCATCAACCATAACTCAGTTGTACCAAATTTGCAGTCATGTGTGAAGAAATTGTTTCTCTAGTCGATGATAAACGTACCTAATTGCCTTAAAATAGCAAGAACATCAAGTACCCAAGACAAAATAGAAACTTGGTTGCAAGGTGGTAGGGGCCGCCCCATCGATCACTCTTGGTGAAGAAAGACTATTGACTAGTTATATACCAAAATACAGAAAAAAAATCTAGACTACACATTAATTTGTCATTAGCATGATCCGTTGAAAAATAATGGTGGATCTTATTATTTTATAGATATGATAGGTCCTATATTTATACATATGGTTCGTACGTAGGAGGTAAAAAGAAAGGGGGGTAAATATTCATGTATCATTGTCTTAGTCATCAAACCAAGACATACTCTCTGAGGATGAACTGTCTAGTACAAAATCTGACTCCATTTTCATTTGGCAGACTTAGCTCGAACAGCATTACACTCTGGTAGGGGCCTCCCCATCAACCATAACTCAGTTGTACCAAATTTGCAGTCATGTGTGAAGAAATTGTTTCTCTAGTCGATGATAAACGTACCTAATTGCCTTAAAATAGCAAGAACATCAAGTACCCAAGACAAAATAGAAACTTGGTTGCAAGGTGGTAGGGGCCGCCCCATCGATCACTCTTGGTGAAGAAAGACTATTGACTAGTTATATACCAAAATACAGAAAAAAAATCTAGACTACACATTAATTTTTTTTCTGCCTCATTATCTAATTGCATTGAAATCTATTAATTGGGCAGTTTTTGCAGTCTTGGCTTCTTTTACCTTTGGGTAATTTTGCATACTAGGTATTTTACAGTGTTCCACATGCATGCTTAAGCTTCTCACACGTGGTTATGTAATGCATTCTATTTTTAAAATGTTGACTTACATATGATCGAAACTCATTAAAATTTTCTGCAAAATAAATTAATGGAAGTCCATCAGCCTTTATTTGTTTATCTTGATCTTGGTTTAAAGATGTTTTAGTTTGCTTTCAGTTCAATAACTTCAGCCTCCATCACTTCAACATCATTTCAAAGTCTGGATATCTCTTCTTTTCCCTTTTGTAGGTGCTCTTTCATACCACTTCTTATGAACATTCTGCCTCTGTGAGAACATTCACGGACACGTTGTAACTAAATCTATCACGGGGGGATGGATAAGTAGAAAGTGCTTGAAAATATCGATTTTATACAAGTTCTTTCCTGAGAAGTTGAAAATTTCTATATTTACCTTTGATGTTTTGGACATGTTAGATGAAAACTATCAGTTTCATCAATAAGGATGCAAAGTGCTTAGTCACATAACATAACAGTTGTTAGCAATGATATTGGCTAAGAGGAAACTGGTTATGGTTCCCAACACTGACAAGTCTGACACTACTTGTTACACCGATTTCTCTGGGGCTCTTTACATATTGAGCATTATTTATCTCTCGAGATTTTTCATCCAGCTGGGGGTTGGATAATGTGAGATTTCTTTGGGTAGATCTACAGTGTTCAAATATAGAGGTTATGTTATAGACTTAGCAAAAAAATATAGAGGTTGTAGAAGTTTTATAGTTCCTCCAATACTTCTTATGCTGTGAGCCTTGAACTTATTCCTACTGCTGATACTTGCTGCACAACCCACCTACCCCTGCAGGATGCCAGTGTGCGAGGCAGGGGCATGTGGGAAGTCATTGGTTGATTTGTCCTCTCATTTTTTGTAGGCTCACTTGAAAGGGATTAATTACACCTTAATTATTTATGTTTCTTGTTCTGCAGACAAGGCAAGCCTTTACACCAGAGCAAATAAATGAAGCATGTTATGTTGACATTAATTCCAACAAGGCTGTCTTTGACAGTTTGAGGAATAACCCAAAAGTGAACTATGATGGGAGGTGCTTCGCTTACAAGGTAAATCCTAATCTTTTCACCTGGAACCCTGGCAGACAATTGAACTTCTCTGTCTTCCCCAAGAGTTCATAGATTGTTACAGGTGCCTGCCCAAAAAGCTTCGAAAAAAAGTTGTCTTTGTGCTGAGAATTTACTTGGTCTTTATTTGATTACAGTCCAAACATGCTCTGAAGGACAAGAATCAACTACTCATCCTAATACGTAAATTTCCAGAGGGCATTGCTGTTATTGATCTCAAGGATGCATACCCAACTGTCATGGAGGATCTACAGGTTTGTGTTACCGCCTAAAATAATAGCCAAATACTTGCATGGACTTTGCATTATAACCTTTAATTTTCGTTTTTCTTGGAGTTTTAGAGCAAAATTTGTATTTTCTTCATAGGCTTTGAAAGCTGCTGGTCAAATCTGGCTGTTGTCGAACTTCGACTCGCAAGAGGACATAGCCTATCCAAATGACCCTCGAGTGCCAATCAAGGTTGATGACGACCTGAAACTGCTATTCCGGGGAATTGAACTACCACGTGATATGATTGACATTGAGAAGGATCTTCAAAAGAACGGGATGAAGCCCGCCACAAACACTGCAAAAATCTAGACTACACATTAATTTGTCATTAGCATGATCCGTTGAAAAATAATGGTGGATCTTATTATTTTATAGATATGATAGGTCCTATATTTATACATATGGTTCGTACGTAGGAGGTAAAAAGAAAGGGGGGTAAATATTCATGTATCATTGTCTTAGTCATCAAACCAAGACATACTCTCTGAGGATGAACTGTCTAGTACAAAATCTGACTCCATTTTCATTTGGCAGACTTAGCTCGAACAGCATTACACTCTGGTAGGGGCCTCCCCATCAACCATAACTCAGTTGTACCAAATTTGCAGTCATGTGTGAAGAAATTGTTTCTCTAGTCGATGATAAACGTCAGAATGTCACAATTGGCGACCAAAGTTTTTGGTCGCGAAATGTCACAATTGGCGACCAAACAAATTTTGGTTGCAGAATGTCACAATTGGCAACCAAATTTTTTGGTCGCGGAATGTCACGATTGGCGACCAAACTTTTTGGTCGTTGAATGTGATAATTGGCGGCCAAACTTTTTGGTCGCGAAAATATCACTTTTCGCGACCAAAGTGTTTTGGCGACAAAATAAATTAGTCGCGGTAATTAAACATTTAGCGACTAAAAATTTAGTCGCGAAATCCAACTTTTGCCGACCAACCACAATTTTGGTCGCGAATTACTTTTGCCGACCCTCAATTGGCGACCAAAGTAGCGACCAAAAAAATTGGTCGCGGATAACTTTTGCCGACCAAAAATTGACTTTTAGCGACCAATTTTTTTGTTGCCAAAAGTGTTAATTCTTGTAGTGTATGTTCATAATTTATCCCTTTTAATATTATTTTGTTACATCTAATTATATTATGTACATACATATATATTATTTATCTATATATTATTAATTATATTGGGTCGGGTTTGGCTCGGGGAAGATGATATCCACCCCCGCTCCACCCTGATTACAGATGATCAAAATATAATCTACTCCCACCTTACATAAATGTCGAGTATGTAAAATCCACCCCCACTCGAATAAATATAAACAGACCCGAGAGATCAGATTAAAATGGACATATCCCCTTGATCAAATGTTCACTATATTTTCTAGCTGACTAAAGAGTTGTTGAAATGCTTTTTGCAGGTAAGAGATATGTTGAATGTGAAGCAGCAGGACCATTGCTTTCTCTATGAGGATTTGTCTCTAATCATAATATTATCTTCTGGTGGAGTGAATTGTATTTGATGCTTTATGCCTTGTCATTAATTGTTACTTCTATGTTTGAACTTCTTAGAACTTCATATATATGGTTTCATATTTTAGCTAGGATGTCAGTGTATCATGGCTTGTTCAATGCTCTAATAATTTCTTGGTTACAATTAATACTATTTGGATATTTGGATAAATTGTATGCATGTTCCTGGAAGTGGTCATTTGTCAATTTGATAGCAGTAGTTTTAATTGTATCGATTGTGCCTTCTAATTTTTCAAATTGTGTCAATTTAGTCAAATTGATAACAACTATTCAAAAATTGAACGGAAATCAAGAATAAAATCTTTCATTCAAAAGAGAATGAATCATTTCAAATTAAATATTAATTTCTCAATCACTTTGAGAAGAGTGGATATACTGTTTTACACCTTAGTTTTGATTAAATTTTTAAAAGGACGTTTTCAATTTGATTAAATTGTCTAAATTTGCTAAATTTAAGGGTAGAATGATACAATTAAAACTGCAAATACCAAATTAACACAAGTGACAAATTATAAAACCTATGAGTGCAAAGTTGATGAACTATTTTGCCCTTTGATTTTAGTTCAAATTCTAAAAAAAAAAATGCTATTAATCGGATTACATAGTCTAAATGTAAAAATTTCAAAAATAAAATTGATACAATTAAAATTACAAATACTAAATTAACACAGAGGGCAAACTAGAGAATTATAAGTAAATAAGATTCCTTTCTTATAATATTTCTTTGGGTGATTCTATTTGCACAGTACTAATATTCTCAGTATACACTATTAACAGATTAAATTTATATTTCAATAATATCCTCTCAGTAAATAAGACTCATTTCTTATAATATTTCATAGGGTGTATTCTACCAATTCAAAAATTTCATAATTAAAAAAACAAAATATTCTTCACATACCATCATCCCTATAGGGTTAAGGGTTTTAACATATAAACATTGTACGAGCACAAAATAATCTTCACTCGTATAATCCTATTGATCAAGCTTGCGCTCCTCCAAATGTCATCGTAATACCTGAGATCACAAATGTGAGCTAGCCGACGGGTGTGTGCCAAAAATCCCTCCGATGCCTAAGTTAGCAAGTAAACTAAGGATAGAAAAGCTCTGTGAATTTGGGAGTATGAATTGCAGTACCTGGATGAAAGTTTGGTTTGAGCTTTTGTAGACTCAGCATGACACAATTCTAGTAGAACTCTAACTCTCCTTTGTAGAGTCCTCATAGGAATTCCATTCCTAAGGATAATGCTTATCCTTTGACACCATCCTCATTACAAACCAACTGAGATGGTTCAACTCCTTGCTCGATCAACGCAATTGACCAAGCTAATTTTACTCTTTCTGCCACTGATAATACAGAGCAATACGTACTGTCGTCCTAGGCTTACACGGCATGCCATTATGCTAATATAGCACAGCCCGTCATGCAACTCGATCAGAACCTCATTCATAGTTCTGTTTGACCGTCTTCCATTATAGCTCAGTCAATGCTTTGACCGCCATTAAGAAGTTGCTAGGCTTTTATTAGTCCGATCAACTGTCTTCGACCAGTTTACCCTTTGTTCGGCCCAACACCATGTTAGTTCTTGAGTTTAACTCGGCCTAAGCTATAAAGTCTTTTCTACCTAGCTCGGTCCAATTTGGCTACACAAATTACCCTCTCAATTACCCCTTAATTCCATCTACAGCTCATGATTGTGATTATCTTGTCAAGCCAAGCTATACTACTCTAGTTCAGTCTAATCAGCCTTACATCACGTTCACCAACCACGCTGACAAATGTCCTTTTTGGGACACGTAGCTGGTCACCATTGCGCCCGTGCATTGTCATAGCTATCACGCACTGGCCAAAAAATCAAAACGTCTTGCCTTTCCATCTTATGCATATATATTACCCATGCGTATACATCCAATTCTATTACTGTTCATCTTTCTCTATTTGTGACTCTAAATTTAGAACCTCAATCCTTCAGATTCCTTCATTTCCGTCTCAGATCGAAGCACCTCCAGTGCAACAGTGAGCTCGTAACCACTCGAAAATGCATTTTTAACGATTGGAACCTGATTCAACCCTCGAATCTGTAAGTTCTTCGAACTCAACATTTTTCCATAGATATTCGCACTGTTCTTCATGTTTTTTTCACTTTCGTATGGTTAAACCACTATCCATGTCTACGATTAGCATTTTAATACTTAAAACCATTGGAATTTAGGCAAAATTAGTTTTGGAACTAGACTTCAGGGTCTATGATTACCCTTAAAACTCCATATGCCAAGATAAACTCCAAACAAATGGGACCAAAACCAATCATACACTATAATTTTGATCCAAAATTACATTGGAACCAATTTGCAATGCTCTTAGTGAAGCCCATCAAGCTAAGATTTTGCTTGTCACCTCGACTGAGCTCAAAACGTTGTCTGTATCCTGGACAGATCTAAAACCATGCCTTTTGGTGAGGACCAGGCTTTGCCTCTAATAACCATCGAGCTGTAACCTTGCTCGGACCTAGAACCGAGCTCATTCTTTGCTCGCAAGTGAGACCGAACTAACACCTCTAGGTCAATGACCAAGCTAAAACGACACTTACACATTTTTCCTACCAAGCCACCCGTTAAAGTTTTATCACAATCCACACGATCTACACTACTGTCTTAGCTCGGTCAATCGCTTGAGCATAACATAATTCATTTTTGACCGTACAGACTCCATTAGGCTTTGTTAGATACACCATCACAATTGCCCCTTGGCGATGAAATTTGGCCAAAACAAACACATGAAAGGTTGCAGCCGTCCTGTGTGGTTGAGCAAAACTGCTAAATTGTTAACTTAAAATCCACACTCATGGGCAAGTATCGCTGTTTGGTTAGCTCTCCTAGCGCCATAGGTTAATTTCGCTGAGAGTACAACATCCCCAATGATGTGCGCCTCTCTTTAGCTAAACAAGATACCATCTCGTAGGGAAAAACTAGGTTTTGCCCCTTTTCCGTGCTATCCATCGTTAAGGGAGGTCTATGTTTTTTAATTTGCGAATTCCTTAGGCAGACTAAGCTTTGCCCAACCCATCTTTCCACCAACACATACTGAATCATCAACGGTATAGCCAAGTTAAATCATCGCCTAGGTCTCAACCTAGGGCTGGCCGAGATATTCCACCAATATTCTCTAGGTTAAAGCAACAACGGTTGGTGCTACTACCTGAAGGTGAAAAGAGGTCGAGAGAAAATCGTCAAGAGAACACCCGATAAAGACTTGCATGACAATGACTTTCTCTGGCATTCTAGCAATTATGAGGACCAAGAGGCCCTGGTACCAGGCTACGACATTAACTATAATAAAGGGATAGCTGGTATAAGTAGCACGATTTTACTTATCTTATTTTAGTCATTTTGATGCCCCAACTCCGAGATAACCGCTAATCCATTTTGATTTTTTACTTTTTGCAGATCTAAACCTTCTAAAGGAGAAGTATGCATATGCAAACCAAGATGATCTTTACGCCGCACTGAAATATAGACAACAGGATTGGACCAATCTACTTAGCTTTAAGCCGACCTATCGATACAGCAGCAAACGAAAGAGCAAAGTGACAAACTTTCTCCTAGAGCCATCGCCTGATCCAGATCCCAGCCTACTTGAGATCAATCTCATTTCCTTGACCGAGGAGCAATACATTGCTAGTAAGAGAGTAGTATGAGCCCTAACCACCGAGTAAACCTCCATGGTGCCTGCTGATGCTCAGTTTGAGTAGCGTCCCGCTGAACAAAAGAAGTCGGCCGTGGTTGCCCTGCCAATAGCTAGGGCTTTCTCATCTTGGCCTAACAAAATGGCCCGAACTACGCCCACTTAGTAGCATCTGGTGGACAAAGATGACACTGAG